AATATTTCACATCACGCTGAACCCAAACCTTACCTGCCAGCCTCCTGCCGAATAAGAAAAACCAGTTTCCGGATAAGGGAGCCGACCAACGTCGCACAAAAGTCACTTTCGACAGTCAAAAACAATAACAATTCTCCTACATGGTTGGAATTCGATTCCGAGCACTCCTGTAGCCATATCGAAGGAAAACGAACGGTGGGTGAGACAAAAACAGCGGGCAAAACCCCCAATCTCCTTCGATGAGCCCTTTCTTATTTCCTATTTTGTGCGATTTTTCTACTGTTGTATTCACTGTTTTATTTTATACAGGTTGATCGAAAAAAAAATCTCAGCCGCGAAGGTGAGCCGGTGGAGCCGCCACACCCGAAAAACTCCACCACCAGTGGGTTTTCGTTTCGTAATTTTTTCGGCCAACCAAGGCCCCCTAATATATTTTTTTGCAAGGATATGTATAAAGGCGGCTGAAACTAGCCAAACTGGCTGCAAACGGCTAGGCCAGAGCAAACCACCACCGCAGGCAGTGGTGCCATCGCTGGAGCACGACGGTGACGTCGTGCCGAAACTCCAAAATTGGCCAAAAAGGATTTTTAACACCGATTTTGGGTTTTTGGGGGTATTTTTAGGTACGTGAAGTGTGTGTTAATCTACGCAGGAAATTTCAGAAAATTCGGAGACCGCTAGTAGGTGCAGTAGAAAGTTTGGTATTTCTGAAACTGATTCGGGTAAGAATCCCTTACCTTATTTCCTATTATGGAATTAAAGTTTAATAATCAATAATATGATATTTTGTGAAATTTAGAAAACTCTAAGAATAATTTTACGTCACTAATAGAGCCGGAACTGATTAGTTATATATATGTTTTGTTTAACTGATTATTTAATTTTACAATTTTAATACATGATAATATATTAGAATAGTTAAATGATTCACTTGTGCTTCCTTGATGCATATATCGTTTGTCTTGCATGATTTACGGTTGATTTGTGAAATTTGAAATTAATATGCTAATGAGAAATTACTTGATTATGTGAATTAATAAATGGTTGTCTTATTAGATATTCTGAGAGATGATGGATGGACCGGGTACATAAGAAATCATATCGTGAACGTTACTTCATATCGGACGGGATATCGAGGGATGGTACTTTGGGCGCTCATACCGGACCAGGTATGGGGATGACCCGATTTATCTTCATATCAGACGGGATATTAAGGGATGATATTTTTGGCACCCATATCGGATGGGGTATGGGGACGGCTGGTTAGTTGACAAATTTATATATTAGGTTCACGTGTAGTGGAACATCCCTATGGACCCCTAGGGATACCAGTAAGCAAAATAAAAAAGAAAAGAAAAAGTTGTTGTTCTTTCTCACTTGAATATGAGATCATAATGTTATTTGAGTTATTGTCTCTGTAGATCGATTTTAAAAATCTCGTAATGGTAAATATGCAATAAATGATTTTTTTTATAATAAATGAATTTACTTAAATTAAGAGGTCTATTGGTTGTTTTTATGATTTTTACCAACCTTCAGTTATTGTCTCGGTGAATATTGTGATATTTTTATTGGGGTAGGGTAGCTCACCCCTTTCCCTATTAACCATTTCAGATTAAGAAGACTAAGATCCAGATCTTGGTCAGCAAGAGGGCTGTGAGTAGGTGTCCCCTCGGATTCTATCAAGAGTTAGTGGAGGTTAACCTCCCTATAACATTTATTTACTATTTTCATATGTTATTACGTTTTTTATTTTATGAACCGCTGTGAAAGGGACATTTCTGTAACCCTATTGGACATGCTAATTTATGTGTAAGGAATGTAAACTCTAACGTTATTATACGCTTCCGCATTTAATTTATGACCTTATTTCCATTTAAGTTCTAGGTCTCTACAATATAAACATATGTATGAGATTCTAAATTTCCTTACTTACATTACTAAACAAAAAGTATAAAACAGTAACCTTAATATTAGAGTCTAGGCTTTAGAAATTTCTTTCATATCATTGCTCACTCTATAGTAGTATCTTCAGTATCTGGAGGGTGACTGGAGGGTGAGATAAAATATCCCAATAAATAATATTATAAAATCACAACATAGTACATGCAATATATAGTTTCTTTACACACAACAAAATATATATCATATATTCTTTCCAAAATAGATACGAATCAGAAGATGAAAGCACAAATCAGAAAACAGATTCATGTTATATACTTCATCACTATTATGGAAGATCAATAAGTTACCATACATTATACGTAGGCACAGATACTTATCACTAGTTCTCCATGTACACAAACATGGAACGACATACATGAGTACTTTGAAACACTGCTATCCCTCGAACACGAAACGGTTAGTACACGTAGATCAGACTATTTCCCCATACACGTAAATACGGAATGATTATGTATGAGTACACACTTATCACTTTGCCAATACACTCGAACACAGAACAGTTATGTAGGACCAGAATGAGGCCTAGCATAATGTAGGTACTTTTGAAATAATTTTTTTCCATAATGAGTGATGCACACATATCAAAATCATATTTCGAAAATATAAAGCGAAATAATACTTATATCAAAGTAAAACTTTAACAAATATTTACTTAGCAAATACGGAAAATAAATTAAACACGTGCACACTTTTATACTAAAAGTACGTAAAATACTTCAAAACTACGTAGGCTATAAATCCATCATATCCACTTACCTTAGGTCCTTAGCAGTCGTAATCTTAATTCTAGTAGGGTTCCGACTTTATTTATGATTTTTTTCTCTAAAAAATTTGGCCAAGTTTCAAAATGATTTTTGATCACTTTCTTGACTCAAAAATATCCAACACAATACTAAAAAACTAATTCCAAAAATCAAAGAGAGATCAAACTCCAAAACTTAAGAAAAAGCTTACCTCTTTTGATTGTGAGCCTTATTCCTCTTATCTTTTTTTTTCTCCCCTCTTACAAATTTAACATAATTTTTCCGAGGTTTTTATCTAAAACCTCAAAATACTCAAAAAAATCACATACTTTGTACTTTATCTTCTTCCTTCACCTCTATGCTTTTCACTATTTTTCTCTCATTCAAAATGTCTCTTCCTCCCTTTTCTTATCCTCTATTTATAGGAGCAGGGAGCCACGAGGGAAAAGTTGCCACTATTCCGTCATACTATTTTGTCTAAAAGTTATCATATTTTATCATGTCACTTCATTTAAAAAGTTACCACTATTTATATGTCGTTTATCTAAAAGGTATTTTTACATGTCACTTCATCTCAAAGTTATCACTTTTGTGATGTCATTTTATCTAAAGGTTACCATTTTTCACATGTTATTTATTTTAAAAGTTGTTATTTTTCGTTACGTCATTTTATCTAATAAGTACCACTTTTCATTATACAATTGCATTTAAAAAGGTTCCTATCTTTTCTCATGCATCTTCATGCTTAGTCTAGTTCCTTCATACTTATCAATTATTTTTTTGTTTGCCTCTAAACTATATCTTTAATTTTATTATATATTTTCAAATAACTGTAAAACTAAATTAAATATAAAAAATTAATTCGGAGTTATTTTCAAGCTATCACAAATAACTTCCGTAATCTAAATGCTTCAACATATTAACAAATTTTTTAATAGCATTTATGTTATTTTATTTTAGAATGAAGTTACTATCACTATAATATTTGTTTTATTAAATCAATATTTTAATATATTGTAACTATCACAATTAAAAAAATTTAATTATTATAAAATATTTATTTTGTTTGTAACTTTATCCACATATTAATGAGTTTAGTCTTTTGTCTTAATAAATCAAATATTATAAATTAGTTATTAGCAACCGACTTATGATATACTTACAAATGACGAGTTTTAAGTTATTAATAATATTTAAACTTTATCTCACAATAATATCTGCTAAATGATAAAAATTTTACCCCTATATTTTTGAAATAATTAAAAGGTGAAATAATTAAAAAATTAAATGAAAAAATAAAATCATCCTAAATTCATTCAAATATATTAAATTAATATTATAGTAAGTTATAGTAAATTTATAAATAGAATAAGATTGACCTACTAGAATATTGAGTGGGGCAGCTGACGTGGCAAATTTTCGGTGCTCGTAGAAATTGCAGAGACCATCACAGGACGTTAGCTAAAAAAACAAAGTACAAACACGGAAAATGGCTAGAGAGAGAAACCAGAAGTATAGTGTGAACTAGAGAGAGAGAGAGAGAGAGAGAGAGAGAAAGAGAGGAGTATAATATGAGTAGGAGTAAGCAGTTTTGGGGATTTGGTGAGGTCGATTCAGCTATTTGAGACGGAAGCAGAACCAGCAGGAAAACCTGCACCAATGAATACAACAACAACAGCGACGCCACCTTCTCGATAAGTGCTTTCAAGGCGGCAAGAGGGAAAACAAAGGCGGTATTGAGGAATGGAAAAGCGGTATTTATGTTGAGAGAGAGAGAGCAGAAGACAAAAGCAGAAGCGGTTTTGTAACTGAAACGGACCAGCTCCTGATAAAAATATCCAGTGTGGCTACGCAGAAAAATATCAATAATGAATACGTACATAACCGTCATCTCTTGTTAAAGCTTTTTCCTCCTTTTTCTCTCGCTGGGGTTTTGTTTCATTAATGGGGTAGGTTATAGCGCGTGAAAGGTTTCGATTGAGCTTCTCCTGTTCAGTGAAGAGAAAGGGAAAAGATAAAAGTTTTGGTTTCTTTCATTTATCTGCTCCTACAGCGTTGATTTTGGTGGTTTCTTTTATGGCTCATGTTGACGGCAATCTCAGAGGCTCTGCATCTTCTCGTGGGGTATCAGGTGAGGAAACTGAAAGAAGATTGGTCTGTTTTTTTTTTTTTTTTTTTTCCATGAAAATCTCTGTTGGTAGCTGAGAAAACCGAGGAAAATCAATGGGTTCTAATGGTTGATGGAGAATGAGAAAAAAAGAGAAGGAATTTTCGTTTGGGGAAGGAAATGAGAAATTGGCACAGTTATCGCGTCTTTTACTTCAGCTTCATTGAACGGTTATGAGCTTTGTAATTTAAACAATGACAAATCCGTGGTTGATAGTTTGACCCGACTTCTTTTTCTCGTGCGTTTTCTCATCAACCGAACGGTTCATCTCTTTCTGTTTCTCGGCTACCGAACGCAGAATAAGGCCTACAACCAAGTTCATTTCTGTGATTATTGTAAATAGAATATTTTCCAACTACAAAATGTTTGATATTGGATTTTGGTACCGAGTGTGGTAGGTCGGGAAAGTGATGGTGATCTGTATAGGGAGCTATGGAAGGCATGTGCAGGGCCGCTGGTGGAGGTTCCTCGTTCCGGAGAGAGAGTTTTCTACTTCCCTCAGGGCCATATGGAGCAAGTACTGCTTTTTTCACTCTCCCGATTCCTTGAAAGCCTTATCTCTTTTATTTATTTTTTTTGAGAAAAACACAGTCTTCTTTATATCAGTTTGACGTCTAGAGAGATCCAAATCTCATTTTCCATTTGTTTCTCATGAATTTCTTTTTAATTGTGCACTGTTTTTTATTTTGCTGTCCTGCAGTTAGAAGCTTCGACTAATCAAGAACTCAATCAGCAAATCCCTCGGTTTAATCTTCCTTCGAAGATCCTTTGTACAGTTGTGCACATTCAATTACTGGTATCTTATTTTACTCTTGCCTTCTCTTATCCACTTTCATTGTGTTTGCCCCTGATAACTTTTTTTCTATTCATGCTTCAATTTACAGGCAGAACAGGAGACGGATGAGGTTTATGCTCAGATCACCTTGCAGCCAGAAGCAGATGTGAGTGACAACTTCCTTCTCTCTCTCTCTCTCTCTCTCTCTCTCTCTCTCTCTCTCTCTCTCTCTCTCTCTCTCTCTCTCTCTTTCTCTCTCTCCCTCCCTCCCTCTAGAAAATATACTATTTGTTTCGGTCTGTTTGTTTCCCGAGAGATTACAATATGTGCTCAACTGGGGTTTCCCATTGACTCGGCGCTGGATGGTCCTCTCCGATCATGTCATTTTTTCCCTTTCTGATTTGATTACAGTTGTTTTTGCATGGTTTGTTTTGGTTTTTCGTTCTTCTTGCTTTTTTTTTGTAATTTGGAAGTTTCTTACGATATTCTATATGTTAAAGGAAGGGAAATAATTTTCTAATTTAATACAAGTAGTCATAGTTAGATGTACTAATGTACAGTAATGTGAATGTAACAGCCAAGTGAGCCTCCAGGTCCAGATCCCTGTTTGCCTGAACCTCCAAAGCGAACTGTTCATTCCTTTTGTAAGATTCTAACAGCTTCAGACACAAGCACCCATGGTGGATTCTCTGTTCTGCGTAAGCATGCCACTGAATGCCTGCCTCCTCTGGTAATAATTTATTATCAGTTGATTTTTTTTTTATATCATAGAAATTATGATACCTAGTTTAAATTTCTAATTCAAGGCTGTATCACTTTAAATTCATTAGGACATGACCCAAGCAACCCCAACCCAAGAACTTGCTGCTAAAGATCTTCATGGTTATGAATGGCGGTTTAAACATATATTTAGAGGTAATTGTTTCTGTAACAGCACATGGCTTAGCAATTGGAGATGGGTAATTTTCAAAAATAATCTGGCACAACTGTCTGATCTTCTGAACAGACTGATCGTATTTGTTTCCTCTGGTTTAACTTGTTCTTGTTTTAGGTCAACCTCGGAGACATTTGCTTACAACAGGTTGGAGCACATTTGTTACATCCAAGAGACTGGTTGCAGGAGATGCCTTTGTGTTTCTGAGGTAGCTGGACTTCTATTATATAGTGTTAGTTGTTGGAGTTCTGATATAATGTTATTGTGGTAGCTAAGTTTTAACTTTTATTTGTAGAGGGGATAACGGAGAGTTGCGGGTTGGGGTACGGCGACTTGCAAGACAGCAAAGTCCTATGCCATCATCTGTTATATCCAGCCAAAGCATGCATTTGGGTGTCCTTGCTACTGCTTCTCATGCTGTTACAACCAACACGCTCTTTATTGTGTACTACAAGCCAAGGTTAGATTATTTCATGTTTGGCACTTGTTGATTGATGAGTTTGCTTCTCCCAACTTACACTTCATTTCATTTATTTTCTTTTTTCTTTTCAGGACCAGCCAGTTCATTATTGGCATCAACAAGTATTTGGAGTCTGTAAAGCATGGATTTTCTGTAGGCATGCGCTTCAAGATGAGATTTGAGGGAGAAGATTCTCCTGAGAGAAGGTATACATTGGGGACCTTGTTCGTTTTACTGGTGTTATTTTCAGTGTAATATAGTCTTTTTAATTCCTGTGTGCATGTTTTTCAGGTTCACAGGCACTATAGTTGGGGTTGAAGATATCTCTTCCCAGTGGTCAGGTTCCAAATGGCGGTCATTGAAGGTTGAATATGGTTCTTAATTACTCATTTGACTGTTCACTCATTATTTTTATTGTTTTATGCTGGTTTGCCGAAACATTTCTCCTTTTAGATTCAATGGGATGAACCGGCAACAATTCAACGGCCAGAGAGGGTTTCTCCATGGGAGATTGAGCCTTTCTTGGCGCCGTCTTCTGTGAATCTTGCTCAACCAGCAATTAAGTGCAAAAGGCCCAGGCCAGTTGATGTATCAGTTTCTGGTATGAGAATTATACCTTTACTATTTCACTGAAATGCATGGTAATTCCTTAAAATTTGAACCTGTTCAACGGGATGCAGAGATTACCACCAATTCAGCTGCCTCATCTCTCTGGTATAATGGACCATCCCAGTCCCATGAGTTAAATCAGTTAAGTAGTCCTGCCGATGTTCAGAGTTGCGACAGCCAAGTTGTCTGGTCAACAAGGCAGAAAGAAATTGATGGCAGCCTTGTCAATAGCAGTGGTGGATGTAACTCCAGAGTCAGGCAAGAAGGAATCTGGTCTTCTACTCCTGTAAATGTCTCCTTGAGTCTCTTTGCGGATTCAGCTGAGGATAACAAAACTGTTCTCTCATCAAGGCCCAAGAGTGGTGTTATGCATGACCAGGTGGAGAAAGGGAAAAAATCTGAAATTTCTGCAGGTTGTCGCTTGTTTGGAATTAATCTAACAGAAAAGTCTAGTGCTTCTGCTACCCATCCAGCAGTTGATTCTAGCACTGCACAAGGGCCTGTCCCGGTCACAGATGTTGCTGACAAGGATAGGGATCTGGAAGCTTCAAGTTCTGCCAAGGAACAGAAACAAGATACGTTAGAGGTGTCAGTGAAAGAATCACAGAGCAAGCAGGGATCGAGTACCATGAGAAGTCGTACTAAGGTAGAATGTTAAAAGAAAACTGGTTGATTGATGTTAAAGCATTAGTTTCTTACAAATGTTAAATATTAATGAAGGTGCAAATGCAAGGGATAGCTGTTGGACGTGCTGTAGATCTAACAGCCTTGAAAGGGTATGATGAACTTATAAATGAGCTGGAGAGGATGTTTGAGATTAAAGGAGAGATTGGCCCTGGTAACAAATGGGCAGTTGTTTTTACAGACGACGAGGGTGATATGATGCTTGTAGGGGATGATCCGTGGTTGTAAGTATACAAGTAGCCAATTTTCTGTTGTTTCGTTTCCAGTTTACAAACAATGAGTTGTACGCTGTTTTCTGATAGCGTTGTTATGGTTGCAGAGAGTTCTGTAAGATGGTGAAGAAGATGGTCATATATTCAAGTGAGGAAGTGAAGAAGATACGCAGAAAATTCAAGTTTCCTATGTCTTCGGTGGAGAGTGAAGGGACTGTGGGAAGCTTGGATTCAGAGCATAAGTCTGAAACATGAAAAGTTGCTAATATGGGATGGGTTTATGCTTAAAAAATTGGTTTTATATTTTGGTGAGTTTGTTTTAGCAGAGTGAATGAAGGAATAGGTGGGTCTGATGGAGATTAGTAGTAGTACTCTTTTAAATTATTAAAGGAATTGGGACAACCTAGTTTGTTTTTTGAGGTATGGAGACCATGCGTAGTTTTATATTATGTGTGATTTTTGTTTTCTAAAAAATCTTTAAAACAAGTTTATTAGATCTAAAGGCTGTAAGGAGAAAAAAAAAAGGAGTGTGTAAACTGCACTGTGATTTTCTTTTGAAGATTAAGAGAGGGTTGACTGAGACCCCAGAACAAAAGGGGAGAATTTGTGGGGGCCATTGATTTGATGAGGTGGTGCCCATTAGAGAGTGTTAATCCATATTGTTTGTGTTCCTCCCTAGAAATGGGCATTTAAAGTCCATTGACCCAAATTGGGAAGCCTTCTAAGTCCCTATTCAAAACTCATATAATAATCTCTCTGCCTCTTGGTCCCACCCATTGATGACATTGGCAGATATGGCTGGCTCACCTCACCCACTCTCTTGTTTGTTGTTTTTTGCTTCTCCTCATAATTTAACCCATTGGTTTTATATGGGAGGCAAAGGTTGTTTTCATTGAGATTTCTTGTAACAAAAAGTGGTCGATGATGGATTAGAACACATTTTTTTTTTCAAACATTTTATAAAAGAAGAAAAGAAAAATCCACTCGACACTGACATTCAAGATACTATCTCTAATTTTTAATTTTAATTTTATTTTCAAAGTCTATAGATGCATGAACCTTCCCTTTCTATTACATATATATATATATATATAAATACAATTCTGTTTTTCAGACTACAATTTCTTTAAAATATTTATAGTTTTTGACTTCAAAATCACATTAATTCAACGGATTTGAACTTGTGCTTCCCAAAAGAGTTTCAATTTAGAATAATAATCCAAAAATTTAACTACGAATTGAGTAACAAATTAACAAAATACAAGTTTATGTGGCAACACGCCTGTATGATTCATATTTGTTCTGCCCCTAAAATACTAACTGTTAGTCATCACATCACTTAATTTAGTTAGAGCACGATCAAAATTTTATTTAAAAGTGGTAAGATAAAATGATAGTATTTTAATAAAGCTCAATTCTTGTAATTTTAAATAAAATTTTGTTCGTACTCTAATTAAAGTATGTATGTGAATTTACAATAAATTCCATAAGAATTTTGATTTTATTTTGAATATATGTTTGAGAAAAGTTAAATGGAAATGTCAATATTTTAATCCAAATATAGAGGAACAATTAATTTCAAAATTTCATTAAATTTAACGTTACGTTAAATTAAAGTCCTGCGTAAAATTGAAGTCATTAGAATTGGAGCAATCAATTTCAAATTTATTCTAATTTTAACGTGAAATTCTATGAGTTTAAGTTCTATCACATCTTAATAATAGACTTTATGATGTTTTATAGTTAAAATAAATACGGACTTTCTGTTTAATTAAAAGAATAAGGATACTTGTGTAGAAATCGTACCTATGAGGGATGTAGATTTTATTTTAAAAAATAAATAAAAAATGAGTTCATATGGAATTCTAGGTGGAGTTTATATATTTTTATATATATAATTTATAGTTTTAATTCCCATTTTAAATTTTTTTTTTAAAAAAAGATTCCCCACATCTCTTTTATATTAAAATTAATCTACTAAAAAGAAAACCAAATAGGAACGGGGACATATTTATGTTTCTTCGGTCCATTAATGAACTGAAATATTTAATTGGGTCCACATTCATCGCTTGTGGCGGGGGCATAACTCTGAGCCCAACACTTGTATTCACTTGATAAGGCCTTCCTCCAACCGGGTATAATATAATTCTTATAGATTAAAATAATAGTTTGGTCATTTTATTATTTATTTTTGCTCAGATCAATCCCTATATTAGTTTTCACTTTAGTTGGTCCATGTATCTTTTGCATAAAAGAGTTAGCACTATTATTAACTTAAAGTACCATATGTTAAATTTATTGACACATGACATTTTTTAATTAATTTAAATATTAATTAAATAATATTATATGAAATGTCACGTGACATTTGATATTTATTTATTCACATAAAAATTCTCTTTTCATCTGCTTCCTAAAACTTTACAAAACACCATTCCCACCCCCCTTGAGTTCGCCCTTAATCTTCTCCAAGCTCCTCATCCTCGACTACTTCAACATTATGATCGTGAATTTTAATGAGCAAGAACGTTTGCAAGTAGCTTAACTTGGTAGTTAAGTATCAAGGAGATAGAGTTAACACAAAACCAAGAGACCGAAGAATCTACCGAACTTATTGGCATCATATGACATAAGAATATTTATGGAGGCAACATCATATCATTTGCGTCTCATAATTTTAGCTCCTGCTTGTTGCTATTGATCTGTAAAGCAGATAATTGCGGCAATGATACAAGGTGAAACAAGGGTTTGATGAAGACCATCATAGGAGGAAGAAGAAAGAACTAAAAATTTAAAGAAACTTTCTTTTGAATTTGTTGTTGGAGAAGATTTTCAATCTGGCAATTCAAAATTCAAAACAAGCTTTAAAAGAGATAAAATTGCAAATAAAGAATAAAGTCCTTCTCTTTTTTGAGTTTTCCAAAATTTATGATCCCTTAATTGTAGTGATTAGGTGAGTTATTTATGTTTGTAATAACTAATTAATTATGGTTTTGGTAATGTAAAGATAGATAATGTGGAAATTAGTCGAAGGAGAGACCAACATGAATTTTTTCACCTAACCACTTCCTGATGTAACCTATACTCCAGATATGCATAATTTAAATAAATAAGAAAATAATGACTCAATATAAAATAATTTTAAATGTACGAAATATATAATAAATAACATCAATTATACAAATTAATTAGTAAAATTTAATATAATATCTATAAATATATGAAAAAGATGTGTATGAAAATATTATAAATTTATAAGAAAATGGTTTGCAGTGAATTTTATTTTGAAATATTTAATAAAGAAATAGACTCAACATTTTCTAAACAATAAAGTAAAGTACGTGGAAAAAAGTAAAATAATAATCAATTATTTGTTTAAGAGTTAATTATAATAGAAATTAAAAAGAAAAGGCTTTAAATCCAAGATGGAAGATAGTAAGGTAAATATTTTTAAAATATGAGAAAGATTATCTTCCATATAAAAGAGTAAATTATGAAAACAAACAAAAAAAAATAAAAAAATAATTTTATAGAAAATATGATGTTAAATGAATAATAAAAGAATCTATCAACTCTCACTATTAAAGTGTCAAGAGTAATTAAAAGGGGGTTCATTTTATTTTCATTACTCTATTTAATAACGGTCCAATAAATTGTAATTAAAAATATATTACCACATTATAAAACTATCAATTAATTACATCCTTTGTTTGTTTTTTTTTTTTTGTATTCCTATGAATTTTTGGTATCGAGGCGAGCTGATAGTTCAATGTGTGTTTTCGTTTAAAGATTAATTGTGTTGTTTTATTGTTAAACAATTGATTTTATTGTTAGTAATGTACAATACAAAAAAAAAACACGTATAAATTTTTATTTTAAAATATAAAATAAATGTATTAAACATCTTAATATGAGTATGCACAAGATACTTAGTTAAATTTCAATCTATATATTTATAGAGAATAGGATAATCAATAATCATTCAATTAATAAATAATTATTTTTTTACTGTATAATTTATAGAAACACGTCACATAATTAAATTCAATCAGTTAAAAAAAAAAAAAAAACTCATTTAAAGATTACATGATCAATTTAATACCTCTTATTTATGCATTGAGTTTTATTTAAACTTTATTTTTGTAAATGATAAATTAGAATACAAATACAAATATAATAGAGATTTAACTCAAAATAACATTCTAATTTCAAACTAATTTTACATTTGATTCAAATTAATCAATTCATTTTCTTATACATAGAAATACGGATTTATGATTATGAAAAATTGATTAAATTATTTATTAAGCATAGAAATTATGAGTAGTTCTTATACATAACAAAACAAAAAGAATCAATAAATTAAAACTATTAAGACAATACTCTAAACATAAAACCTAAAACCTAAAGTGTGACTCCACCTAAGACCAAGAATGGTTCTGGGTCTGACTTCTTTTTTGGTACGGCAGCAGTTGGTGCATGTAAGAAAACTCCAAAAAACACGAAGACCTCTCCTTAAAGAAATCCATTCTCCATCACACGTTGGCATCCTATGCTCTCTCCCCACCCAACCATAATCAGCTGTGCTCGTTCTCATCTCTGTATGTCCCTGATCAATCACATCATCTTTTCTTCTTTCTCAATTCTTGATCTGAATGAAATCCAAACCAACGCCACTTTACCAAAAGCGAAGCTCAGTTTCCTAGAAACCTTACCCGCCATCAGAAGAGCCAAGATATACTCTGCTTTTGCTTTTCTGCTTCATCAAAACTAAAAGTGAACATTGGAAAAAAAAAAAAAAAAACGAGTTACTGTTTGTTTACTTTAGTGCTCTGCTTTCACTGTCTTGGTTCTTTATTTCAACTCTATTGTGAGGGAGTAGGTTTTTTGGCTTTGAATTGAAAATCTTATAAATTGGGATATGCAGTCAATCAAAGTATCTAAACTTCTCTGCTTTCCAGAACATGGGTGAGATTGCTTTTTAAGCTTATAATGGTAAAGATATTTCTGCACGAAGCATTTTTTTTCATCAAGCAGTTTTAAAAGTGCACGTAATACATTTCTGTAAGTAGGCAAAAATTTAATACTATGGACAAGAAAGGATTAAACCCAACTGTGAAAAACGAAGCAACCCTGTTTTCCAAAATGATAAGATTAGTTTTGATGGGTATTTATTTGTACCTCTTTTCATTAAAACACATTAAGCTCATAATGCAAAAAATAAGTAGTGCCCTTTTATTAATCTTCTGTTTTCTGCTCACTGTTGATCAGTGAAAGTGAAAGACAGACAGAGACATCATAAAAGCTTTGGTCTTTTTTCTCACTACGTATTTCCTTATACCTACCCATTGTCTGCCTCCCCTTCTTCTTTTCATGCTACTAAATATTCAACCCCCTGTATAGAAACATTCACAAACACAAGCTGATTCGTCTGAAGAGAAAATGGGTTCTGAAACAGAGGAAGAGGCAACCATAACGTCGAAGCTACCGTTACTGTTAACAGTCCATGCACACATGGAGTCGCCGGAGAGATCAGGGACGCTAACCCCACCAATCCACAGCCTTGCCGCTGTCCCATTTCGGTGGGAACAGGAGCCAGGCAAGCCTAAACCTTGCGCTCTTTTCTCCAATGACTTCTCTCAGAAGTCTCTTGAATTGCCTCCCAGACTAATTACCAAACTGCCCTCGCCGACGACGGTCCTTGAAAGTCCTTACTCCGGCAGGTCCTTGAGGTTCCCGTCTTCCTCGTTTAGGGTAAGCAGTGAATGTTACGGATCGTTTAGGAGTTATAGTCCTGATCATGAGACCGAGGTGCAGCAGCCGCTTGGTGCTTCGGTTCTTGGCAACAGAGGTGTCAAAGGGAGAGGAATTCTGAGTTATTGGAGGAGGAGGGGTTTGAAGGGTAAAAGAGAGATTGGCGGGGGTAGTTATGTCTTTCCGTCTTCTGTAGACAGGGACAGTGAATCCAGTAAAGACGGGGAAGAAAGCAGCTGTGATGGTGTGAAGATCACAAGGATTAGAAGAGCTGGGAGCTTTTCCAATATCTCACCTGCTAGGTTTCATTTCTGGGTAAGTCTCTTTCCATCTTCGCTCTTTAATGTACAGAAATTTGCACTATCATTTTCCAAACTGCGATTGCTCTTGGTTTCGTAATTTCACTAGTCAATTGACTTTTACATGGTATATTCAATAGACATAAACAACTTGATATAGTTTAATGCATCCATATGTAACATTGTTTTTCTATTGCATTACTGAATAAATCTGAAAGAGTTTTGATATGGATGATGCAACAGAAATCCCCCTGAATTTTACAAAAGGCATTTCAAAGTATAAAAACATGAGTCTTGATATAGGCCGAGTTGGATTGTTGTGGATCTATGTGATCTTGGCCACCAAAGTGTAAATACACGAGTTCTTATACATTTCACGTATGTACACTAATCATGATGCAATTTTCACCAAACAAAGAATCCATGTTAAATTCATAGTTTCTGATAGAGGGAGTAAAAATTGGTTAAAAATCTTCATAGTTTCTCTATATGAAGCTGTCTGGCACCCGCATATTCATTCATGTGCTTACAAATTTTGTTAATTTTCATCTTCTTTTCAAGCACGCTTTTAATCATTTGAAGCGCAAAACTCGTTTTTCGCTTTAAGAAATGATTTGCTTATTTCTCCATCTTAGTCCAAATTCAGTGCGCAAAATCATTAAAGGTTAATTATTAGTTTTGACATTAATACAGACAAGTATCTGCGAGGGGTTGAAACAAGTGGTCCCACTTCCATGGAAGAGAAAGAAAGTGAAGAGAAATGGGCTCGTCAATTTGACTTTTTCTGATCCATAATTACATACCACGGCGCCGCTGGGTTGGGATCATCAGCCTGTTGCTCTGGTGTTTTCTTGCCAAAGAAAGTGACCCAACCATGTGTGTAACATACATAGCCCATCACTGCTTGTTTCTTTCTCGTACTCTTACCAGCCAGCCTCTGATACAATGTGTATCTTGGATATTGCACAGCTCTCAACATCAGCGGATAATCTTTATATTTGTAATGTAAATTAATATGGAGAGATTGGAAAATTGACCAATGTTCCACCAATCTAGCTGTTACGCAGTAAAAATATTGATGAGCCATTATTGGATGGGCACTGTAACATCTGTAGGTGAAAGATGCTATATATTTGTCGTCATTCTTGCTGTCTAATGTATCAGAGCAACATAGCACTTTTATCATTACTTTGTTTTTGTCCTTACATGGTTCTTGGTTATTTTAGTCCCACTAACTACTTTGTCAATAACCATGAGATGATTCTTCTTTAGAAAGGAAGAGTACACTATAACAAGGCATTAAAAAAAGTACTCGCCCAAGTAATATAATCTCTAACAAGTAACTTCCTGCTCAGAAACAGAAACAATGATCCTCCAACAAAAACCGGAGGATGGTTCCGCAGCTGAAGATTTCTCATCCTACAAACGGGGAAAAAGTTACCATCATCAGCCTTCCTATCCCTATCCTTTTCCAAGTACTAACAATACGGCAAAAAGGAATAATTGGCAGATCACCTTATTCAAGAATATAGGTACTGCATGAAGATTTTTGCCAAAGCAAGGCTAATCTACATGGTACAGATATTATCAAGCACTTCTTATAATGAATAGCTAAATGCCTGCTTCTACTAACCCTCCACATTGTACTACTGGAGACCATGTAAAAAGCCAGTATTTTCCTCGTTGCAAGCCCTAAATAGCAGAACAAAAGGGTAAAGCCAGTTTTCCATCATCAAAGCTTCCTCACAGGAGCCTTCGAGGCCTACACAGCCACAGCCTCTCAATTCCAACTAATTCATGCATTAGAATACCCGAGTGATTCAGATTGGACAGGTCTGACAGTTATACCTATTCTCAACATTCCCATGGGTTCTGATTTCTGTTACAATCTCGTTAAAAATGATGAGACTAATTATCAGCTGCTTTCTACATTATTACTGTGGTATTTATGCTTCCAGAAATTATCTCAGAAGGTATTTATGCTTCCAGAAATAACAGCATGGATATAACTGAATAAGGGCATCGACAAGCCAACTTGATAAAACATGAATCTGAATTAGGCGGAAATATTAAGAACAAAAAAAAAATTAACACGAGATTAAAATATTCATGTCCTTAAAAACAAAAAAGGATTATGCTTCATGGAAAGTTTTTTTTTAAAGCATACTGCAACTAAGAGTGTCAGGACTTATTTCCATTTCAATGAAAATGTAAGACGGTAAAGGGGGAGAATTCTGCAACTTGAACCAACAAAGTATATCACCCTTGTTTCTTACCAGTCACGCCTGCAACCACCTGCAAGAGATGCAAGAATCAATATTACAAATATAGTAAAATACTATTTTCAGAAACTTAACTTCTATGTTTCAGTGCCAAATTACCAACTGAAACATTATTTTTTTTTTGAAAGAAGTACTGAAACGTTATTTTCTGCTCTCTGAGATTTTATGTAACTGAGAACACTGCATAACTTTTTTAAGACCAGAGGATGCCATATAAAAACCTGCTCACTGGTAGCCCAGTTAGATTAAGTAGTTGTACTCAAACAATGTCATTTTATAGCTGGCTTCCCTGGCAAGAATTTCTACTCTCAAAAAACCAAAAAAAAAAAAAAAAAATGATAAAAAGATCAAATCAACATAATTTTCATACAGGTTTTATGGAGCAGATGCTCTATTCCATCATGTCATTTGAGGTAGAAAGATCTTAAAAACAAATTATTAGTTATAGAAAGAAACAGGTCAACAGAAGTCATAATTTAGACATAACAGCATATCATAGGGATCAGCATACAGTACTTGCATATCAGTCCACCGACTAGAGTACGCCAACTTTAGAGGGCTTGTCTCTTACACAATGTTTGAATTGAGCGAAGTAGGGAAAGATAAGGGACGGGCTCATAACTTGTTTGGATAAAAAATAACAATTAGTAAAGAAAAGGAGGGATGGTAAGCATCCTTATAAGGGAAAAAAATAAGAGAGAGAGAGAGAGAGAGAAGAATTAATTTTTTTTTTAAAAATTTATATTTGATTCTTACTAGCCAAATTTGTCAATCTAATAATAGACAGTATTATTTACTATTTTCTTAAAAATAATCATTTCATTTCCGCTACAATGCTAAACCAAATGAAATATTATTAAAATCTTTTTCTTTCTCAAGGTTTTCAATTTATAGTCAGAACCACTTTTTCTTTCATTTTCTCTAAAATTCATTATTTCCTTTACTTTCTTTCCTCTCCATCCCTTTCCTAAAATTTACCCAAAAATAGTGTTAGCACAGGCATAATATTAGGCTCTAAGTTAGGAGACTGCCACTTCAAAACAGAGAGCACTAGCCTAAAAGGAAGAGACACAGCACTTGCCTACCTCAACAACTAAGGGCACAGTGAAGATACTCTTTTCTCTAATTTAGAAAACATAAGAAATCGCGTTTCAAAATTTGAATACTCACATCACTTAGAGCAGGTTGAGAGACTTGCTTGGATGATTCAAAGGAATCTAGAATGGGCCGTACAACAGCTGGAAGGAAGAGACCTGAAAAGATTTTGCAACATAGTAAACCAAGAGCACTAAGAAGAGATTTCAGCAACACCAGAAGGAATATCAAAATTCTAGTGTATATCATTGCATTCGTTAAGGCAAGTAATACTGTATCATTGAAGATAAACATGATCAGAAATGAAAACTTTCCATTATGTCTCTACTCACAGATAATACAAAGGCAATGTCTCTAGACACAGATAATATAAAGGTTATATAAGTCAACAGTCTTCTATCCATAAGAATACCGTGAATGTTAACTTACTATATTTTCAACAATTCAGAAGTACTTGTGCTGATTCTCTCCCTGGTCTACTTATTAAAAAGATTTTATGGGGAAAAAAGAGTAATTCTATGCATGGTTATCCAGTTGGAAGTATATTAAGCCAGATAAACGTGATAAAATTACCAACATGTGTGTTGCTATCCAAAAAAGTTACTTAAATCTTTCATTGTAAAGCTGGTTGATAACATTTAACATTTATATTCCTTGATAAACCCATAGGAGAAGTTAATACATAAAATGCTACCTATTGACCATGTTAGGAGTAGTTCAGAATTTAGGAATTATTCTCCTTTTTCAGTTTTCCAAGAAGAACATTGCGTCATGAAATCTTCTCTTCCCTTTATCTTATTCTCAAGGTTCAAGGATAGAATGGAGTAGCAGCTATCATAAATCAGTACTTCTGAGCTCTGCAAGCATTTTGACAATTTTAATCTAGTAATATATTTGTCCCAAATAATTTAACTTCGAACCTAATTTGATCGCATATCAATATCAACCCCTATCAATGTGCCCGAAAATCTTAGAAGATAAAACCATTCAACCTTCTTAAATAATACAATCAAATCGGAAAAAAAAAATCAATAACAATAAAACCTTGAGAATTAAAATTGTCAATAATCTGACTTTAAAAACCCTACAAAGTTCCATATCAGTTAAAATGGTGTCAGATATAAAAGCCTATTACATAAAATCCCTAATTACGCCTTCAATTCTCGCAACCGACTAACCACATTGGATAATAATGATGATAATAGAAAAGGAAACGCGACGCACCCAATTTTCTTACAGCAAATGCATTTGACAATTAGCTACTTCACAAGGCGGAAATAGAAAATTTCAGATTAGATTTAGAGATCGAAAAGCACATACCCACACCAGCGATGAGGCAAGAAGCTGCGACCACTGGCTCTTGCACGACAAACATCTTCAACTTCTCCATTGCTGGCATCTTTCTATCTCTATTGAGCTCTCCTCAACTGCCTGTTTTCTACCTCTATGATATTTTTCCTTTGGTCGCTTGATGCATGGGATCAATACTTACAACTTCCTAGTACAGGAGAACGGGTCGGGTCGGGTATGTGGTGTGGGAGGGTGGGGGGATGGATGACAAAATAAATTAGTCAAGCTCAAGTTGTTAATAATTAAAATTGGGCAGAATCGTTGTACATTAGGTTAATAAAATTGACAACATTGAGATAATATTTTTTGATTTATACGTAATTAATTTTTGAATTTTCAATTAAAATAGTTATTACCAATATACGAAATGAGACATAACAAAATATAAATGTTAATTTTTAGAATTTTTAAGTAATTACCCTCTTTAATCTCATTAAAACAATTATGTATATTAATTATTATTTTAAAGGTTTTGGTAGCTGCTGTTGATGATTTAAATTACTTCCCGTAGAAAATCAGCATACAGTAATTTCAAATTTAAGATTAATTATTTTAATATTGTTTATTTAAAAATAGTAAGTAAGAGAACCAGAAATTTAAGAAAAATGAAATAGCAATTATTATAAACAGAAGATTTATTAGTTTATAACAAAAAAAAAAAAAAAAAAACCATTATTGGCAATTCAGACCACCCACTTGTAAATCCCATGTGTTTGTTCATAAGCTGAGTATTAATTTAAATCCTAATGGTTGAATTTCTTTACAGCACAATCATAATTTATATCTATCTTGATTTTTAAACTATCATTTAACTGCCTACCACCTCAACAAAAAGCAGGAAAACAGAACACCAGCTACCCAAAATCAAGGGATTTATAAAGTGAGCAGATGAGAAGAATCCAAAATTTACGTGTAAATCATCCATGAGAACCTTTAATGAAGTAGGTCTCAAGACATGCCTGCACAATATATATATATATATATATATATATATACAAAATCAACAGCTCATAACATCTTTTATCCACAAACTTCTGAAAACATAATATGAGATCTAGCAAAATACATACACATGGGAATTAAATCTTACTCATTTCTAAATCAATCTGCACAGTAAGCAGGGGATTTGCTTCAAATTCTTACAGACTACAAAGGCAACATCCATCCCACAGTCCATCCCAAAAGCAATCCAGCACCAACAAGACTCAATCCCAATGCAAATGCCACAGCATACTTTGTAACATCAGGACTTGGCCGGCTTCGCTTTGCTCGCTTAGCCTTCTTAGACTTTTGCCAGCCTTTTTGCAGTTTCCTAACTTTGCAAGGCATCCATGGAAAAGCCGTTGGAAACAGACTGGGGATTGGCTGGTCATTATTTTTGATCTGGTGATAAAGTGCTTCTAGTTGCAATAGTTGGAACCACTGCTTATAGGCAAAAAGTTGTGAGGCTTGTTTGAAGAAGAGTTTTATAATGTGCTCCTTCTCAGCATAGGCTTGTTTTGCTGCTTTCTCAGCTTCCCTAGCCCTTGTTTGAGAATGGCGTAGTGCTTCTAAAAGCTGAGCCTTGCTGACATCATTCTCAGAAACTTGTGTTTCTGTAGAATCCTTTTGGCTTGTGCTGCAATTGTATTACGCTAGAAATTCAACTGATGGATTTGATTATCACGAGGTAAGAATACATAAAAACTATTAAGGTTGAGTTTTGTTTAAATTTCAATTATATAGGAACATGAATAGGGACGGGAAATACAAATGAAATAAAAATTTGAATAAAAGAACTATTCTACTTCCAAGTTAATCCATTTCAAATGAGCTCATTTTGTAATTTCTCAGTTGACAAGTGAGAATATAAATATATTATTATGAAATAAAAGATATCAGAAAAGTGTTTTTTAAAAAAAAATAAAAAAAAGAGAAAAGTTGGTTTAATCATGCATCAAATATGTAAATATGCGACTGAATTCTATGTATTAAACATTAAAATATAGCAATAGAACTTATTTAAAAAAAAAAAGAAAGCAATAGAACAAGAATAGAGTAGACTGAAACCAAGAGCAGTTTAATATCCATATTCTTCCTTGTTTATGACTTCCAAATTATCAAAGAACATGCTGGGAGAAAGGATAATTCAAATGTAAAAAACTGTTCAGCTAAGAATTCAAATTGTGACCTAGAGCACTAAAACATTATGAGCTCCAGGATCCAGATGAAGTTGACCAAGATTCAAAAGAAAAACTAATTGAATACCTGAATGATTGCTCAGAACCATGAACTGTGTGCCCATCTTCAAGTGCAACTCTTTGTCTCCCTAATGTTCTCACAAGGTCAGAAGAGCCCTGTGACTGAATGATCGGAGTAGACATACAATGCGCTTTGGACTTCTGATTAAAAGGTGACAATTCATTACGATCAAAACCCAGAGAATTTCCATATGGGTATTTTCGAGTGTGCATCTTCTGTGGTGGAGGAAGATCACAGTTTGCAATATAATCATGAGACTTTTGCGCAACCAAGGAGGCTAGTTCATCCTTATCTGTGGTTCGCCACCATGGTTCAGTCTTCTCACTACAAACCCAAGGAGCCTCTGGATCAAAAGAGGAATCATTGGCCTTTTTGGAAACTGAACATCCAATAGAATCAACCCCCATGAGCTCATAGTTCTCCTTTGTATCCATAACTTCAAGTAATTCTTGCATGTTTTCGCATTGTAGGGCTTTTACATTCTCTCCAATTTTAGGAATGTGCTTTGCACAAACAGCAGAGTTCCTGGAATGCACATTGGGGGTACACTCACCATTATTCTTATTATCAAGATGAGAACCCTCTCCTTCGGCCTCAGGGTGCAAACCACTCTTGTCTTTAGAGGAAGAGTTTTCAAAGTCAGTTCTTAAAGTATCCATCTTTGCTTCCAAGGTATTTAACTGTTCAGAGGTCAAACCCTTTTGAAATCCATAGTCAGGTTGCAGCTGAAGCCACCACCTTGCATCAGAAGGTAGATTGGCATATGAAGGATTTCGATTAAGAGGCATGAAACCTGCAACAGACTGATCAGGCAAATCCGCTGCTCCAGAAGGTCCTGATTCGACCTGTTTAGCTGATGCAGCTGAGGACTGACAGCAAGCTAATTTAGGAGCTCTTTTGGCATCTTCTTGAACAAAGCAACGATTAGCTGTCCTCTGCCACAAGGCTCTTGCTTCAGCTGCTGCCATCATAATACCATTCTCAGACGCATTTATAACTGCACAAAAGAAAAGTAGATGTAATCGTCGTAGACTCCAAGACTCAAGAGACTCAATCCTAAGTACCTAATAGTAATTATCCTTTCACAAGATCCAAATATAACTTGCTAATCCAATGAATATGAATCACACTAACATCATACAATAGGATATTAAGGGCAGACATGCATGCTTGTTAAAAAGGAAAAGTCAGCAGGACAGCGTCCTACAAGTAACTGAGAAACAAAAATGTGCCATCAAAGGCAATAGCAACTAATCAAAGACAAACCATTTCTGTTAGATATGAGGGGTGTAAAACACGTCTCCATTATCACAAGATACCCACGTGCACATGCTCATCCAAGGTTGCATACATTCCGTTAAAATTTAATCTAACCTTCAAATGCTTTGTTGAGCAAGACAATCAAAATAGAGACAAAAACCATGCATCACCTCCAACAAGTACCCGACTAACATTAATTTGGTTATGCGAATGTGCTTCCAATAAGACTTAATATAACGGTATTCAGGTAAATAAACTCTGATGCTCTAACTTCTGCAACACAGACAGATAGTAGCGTCCCTTAAGAAATCAACACTGCAAGTAATTAGTTGTATTTTGTAAGATTACAATGTATTATCAACACTGCAAGTATGAGTTGTATTTTTTTTTTAACTTAAAAAAAAGGATCACCTTGCATACACAACTCTAAACAGCTATTAAGAGCATCCTGTAGTATACCCGAACTATCAAAAAACAAAAGAAGAGAGAAAATCAGAAATAGAAGAAAATATCCATGGCAAAAAGCATCAAGGAATAGAATCTAAAGACAAATTGTTTGTATAAGAGTGGATTGATTTAAAAAAGTTTTTTTTTTAAAAAAAGAATCAGTCAAACTGATGCCAAAAATCCATAATGATAAACAAAAAAAGCATATACCCGAATCAACTAACTCGCAGAAAAGAAAAGATAAGCAACGAAATTAGTGTCAAAAGAAGCAAAACATAGAAAAGAAACTGAGCCCAGAAACTAACAGCGACCAACAAAGTTTAGATAAGAAAAAGATGTAAGATTTAGCAGAAAAATCCCAGAAACAAAGCAAAACAAAAGAACCAAACAAAAGAAACAGGGAAAAAATCAACCTAATTAAATTACGAAAGAGAAAGAGAACAGACCGGAATAGAAATGAACGACCGGAGAGAGACAGGTATTATCAGCTAGATCTAAGAGGGAAGGGAATGATCCCCCAACCAAAAATGAAACCGTTTTGGTCCAAAGATCCAAAAGCACGCAGTAAATAAAACGGAAGAATATCAGGACACGAGAATCGTGCAGGTAAGTCGTGTGATTATGTCGGGGGTGGGGGGTACTTCGCTTTTGTTGTGGGCGTCAGTTACCGAATTGGCGCTGTGTCGTGTTGGGACGAGTAGAGGGTAGAGTAGACAGGAAGAGAAGAATGGTGGTCCTCGGCATGAAGCTAAAACGTCATCGTTTAGGCACCGCCCTTTGGTCCCAATCGCGGGGTCCTACACTTGTCCTTGCTCTTGGCAACTAGGGTGGATTTTTTGCTTGTTGGATACAAAAAAAAAAAAAAAAAAAAAATGAAGGGTTGGATTTAATCAGAGGTGGTTGATTGGTGGACACGTGGCGGATGATGTGGGAGGATCGTGGGATAGCAACGTGGGCCCACTTCTTTTAAGGGATAAGACTACCTACATTTGATTAAATGGGTAGGGCCACGCGAGAGAATCATCGGTCGGAATCACACTCCAAACCACCATTCCGGTTATTTCTAAGAAAAATAGACAAAAATTGTATCTTGAAAGAAAATTATTGTTTTATAAAGTAAGAAAGAAAATCATTTAGTTAATTAAATGTAAATGGGAGGGTTTTTGAGTGAGAGATAATTTATTAGATATAAGACCTTGTGTTGTTTACATCCATGGAACTGTGAATCTGTGTGCTGTTAAAAATTTATTACTATTAGTTACTGTGGGAAAGTAGACTCAGGATTTGGATTGAACCAAAATTGCTCCAATTTATCTTTTTATTGCATAATCAAATGCTACACGTTATCGAATTAAAAGGAGAAATTTGGTCTTTTGAATTCAAGTAATTATATTTTTTTTATGTGTTATATTAACAATTTTTCAATCAATTTTAATAATGTCAACATAAGCTTGTCATTAAAGTGAATTTGGCCGGACGGTTATCCTTATTGTATTTATATATTTATAGTAATCAGAAATAATTATTTTAACGTGCATCATTTTTAAATTTTACAGAACAATTATAAACTATCATGATTGACTTGAATGGATTACACATCAAGTCACCGTAAAAGATACCACACACATGCCGTCATCGCACGCTTCATATATCACTAATACAATATATATATATATATATTAACTAGGGATAACACAAATCTATTTAGTTAATTTATTTATTTATCAAAATTAATATAATACCCGCAGTTTATACTATTCAAACCAACATCACAGTTGCTTCTCTGTCTCAATCTTTTCGGGGTCTGCTAAGTTTTCTGCCCACTTCTTTTTCTTCTATTGACTTTTCATCTTTTCCATCACATCCTTTTCTTTTACATATAGATATATATATATATATATATGTATTATCAGAATCTTATTCTGCTTACTTCTGTTCAAATGGCAGAAAATCAAAATGTGATTTTTTTGATATATACTTTCATATTGCTCGCTGCTGCCTTATATTGAATGGAATATGTTGCAGACTGTTGACTTCAGCTACTCGTTAAAACCCTGCAAAGAATACACAACAGTTCAATCCCAGTCTTGCTTGCTTGTAATTTTTTTCATTTTTTTTTAAGTTTGTTTTTTTTTCAACTGCAGATTACGACTGGTATTGCGTAATCTAATTCAGTCAGACATGAAACTTCGCAGAAAATTCATTTGATACAATAATAATACAAAATATAAGAAAATTGAATAGGAGGAAAATAGATACCATCCCATTTACAAAACCTAGTTCATCACCTCTATTGTAATCACTGTTCTTGATGTGACTACAAAATTTACATTTAATTCTCAACAATACCAGAATCTAGAAATCTGGGGGCTAACTATGGTATGGAAACCTTTCTGTTTTTCACATTTATATACAACACTCAGAGTCACATAGGAAAAGTTACACAAGAACTCAGCTCTCTACCACAACTCACAACGAAGGAAAGCTTTTGAAAGCAGATAATAATAAATACGAGAAACGATGGCACAAATGAGTGGACTACAGCGTGCATTCTGGTCATCCAAAGTCAGAAAAGTTGGAAGAAGACTAGTGCTCTAGCTTCTGCAGAATTTATTCAGTGCAGGGACAAGAAGTATCAGAACAGCGCTTACCAGTTCTTTCCATGACAAAAATTTTCAAACTAGTCGTTTTTCTGTTTCTACCAGTCATTCTGAATGCTATGAGGTGACAGGACCGAATCATACAAGTTCTGAAAACAGCACTAGCTATCGCTGTCAACTAGTTTCAAACTACAAAATGTTCTATGCTGCTCTATTTGAGTGTCTTTCTGTGCTCGGAAGAAATTCCTTTTAGCTTCATGTCTCCAGATGACAGTCTTTAAGCTGAACCAGCTTCACACAGCCATCTCCGCCACATGTAAGAAACCCATGTGAATAAACTTGTATGTCTGTAACAGCAGCCTGCAACACCTTGGAAAAGATATCCCTTAGAACACTAGGCTTAAAATAATTTCTCCTTTCAGTCTTAGTAAAGACAAGCATAGAAACCTCAAAATAGCATTAACTAAGAGTTACCCGGACAATTCCACCATAGCCCCTAGAACTTGGTTGCAAAAATGTGTGCCTTTCATGCAACTTTGGCCAATGATAAACTAACTTAGCTGCCTTGGCATCCCAAAGTTTGACATCTCCATCTTTGCTTCCCGTCAAGAACAAACTGGTGTTTGGGATGGTAGAGATTTTGGTCACACTCCCTTCACTCAGATCAATTAAATACCAATTAAAAAAACTGTCGATAGTTTGCTGTCTCCAAAAAGGAAAAGATTTTTCTTTTAAAAAAAGGAAACCATTTGTACCTAGATGAGCCTTTGGTAAATACCAAAGCATCCCATTCGAATTTTGATCTCCAAATCTGTGAGCAATCTCTGTCTGCATGTCAGAATTTGAAGATGAGCTGATGCTTGGTTCACCGTTATCAAAATGTCTGTGCCTTTTAGTCCTTCCAGTGGCAATGTACCGGAAATCATGTAGCCCAATGTCACCACCTTTGCCCCCAGTCACAATAAGGGGAGAAATGGAACCGCTGCCAATGTCATTATCAAACACAGAGATGGAGCGAGCACCACCTTCACACAAAATGGAAAAGGTTGGCACCCTAAAAAACGTGAGGCATGGCCAGCTTGATTCACATATTACTGATAATCACAACTCAGTTACAAGTGCATTGAAGCCACAATGCACTCACTATCATGATGTTATGCTTGTAACTTTGAACTCCATGATTTTTTTTTAAAAAAAAAAGTTTTCTGATAGTGTAGACCATGTAATGCATTTCTTGTATACTGTGTAACCTGTCAACTTTAATCTCTACATCAACTATTTTAGGACCAAGCTAATCCATCCCATATCAAGAGCACACGTTAACAACCACCTTAAAGCAGATAAGAACATTATCTGTTTCATGAATATTACACACGATGAGTAGCAACAATTTAACAAAGATGCAGTTTAAACATTAGAATGAAGAATAACCTTCATGACAAGAAATGGAAGCTCGAGATGTCGTAGGTGGAGCCAGTGTATCCCATATGACCACATTAACACCATTGGAGCTATATCCAGCTGCAGCAATCACTGACCCACTTGAAGTAATGTAAGTAACATCACTGCAATCAGAACAATAATGCAAATATGCCGAAACTATTAAGAAACAGAAGAAATGCAAATATTATATCTTAACATCAAGAAGAATCTACCATTTCCAATATGTAAGTAAATATTAAAAAGTGGACTTGGGGAGAGGAAATTAGTTGATCAACAAAAAGAGTGATGTACATCATAATCCCACAAAGCTTGGACATAATAGTTGATTGCCGAAGAAATTATTTTTGGAATAAATTTTTAGTTAAAGTTATTCATTGTAATAATTGTTATTATTTTATATTTTTAAGTTATTTAGGTTATTTAAACATTATAATATTTTAATTTTTTATTTAAGTAAATTAAGTATAATAAGATTTAGAAATTTTCAAATTTCCTCTTCCATGATTTTTATTATTAGTTGTAATTAATACTAATTTAAAAGGTTAGTTATTATTACCAAAAGAGAGATAATAATAAACTAAGAATTGATTTACTAGGATTTTTGTCCTAGTTATCTCTCTCTGTGCTCATTCTTTGGTTATTGTTCTATTTAACCATCTGTTCAGTCTACTTCTCCTTTTAACTTTTCACACTGATCTCTAATTTTTTTAGCTATCTACATTCCTTTGTTCCTTACCTAGATTTCTTCTATTTCTAAACTATTCACGAGATAATTTAGTTAACCACTACTTACCCTCCATCAGTTGGTACTAGAGTCTAATTGCTATGTCTACCATTTCGTCAAAACATCAACTACTTAAGAAAAACAAATAAATTACTTCATCTTTTCACCCAAAAAAAGAAACTTGAAAGGTGGGCTACACCAGAAAATCAACTGCAGGCCTAGGTTGTCGACTACATTCCATAACCAGCCAGGTCTACATCCCCCTTGACACCAGGTTCAGAGAGCTGTACAGGGCTCCTTGCCAATTTTCAGACATTGGTTCTGCCTAAAAGTGTTTCATTTGGCTTCAAAAGGGAAGACACTACTACCTTGCCAGATCTCTGTTATCCTAGTCACTAAAGACAACAATAACCCCTTTTGCTAGACGAGTTATGTAACACTCCGTCCATCTCTATGCTTAATTTATTGAAAAACTTTATTTATTCGAACATTTGGCCATATTAAACTTATTTAATTTTCTCTCTATAATATTTATCGTAATTTGTAAATTTAGTTAAATTTTAATTATTTTGCTTTTATTCAATTATATTTAATTTTAATTTTTATTATTTAATTTTATATTTAACTTATCTGAATTAATTTTAAAAAATTGAGAGAAAATAAAAAAACGGCAAAATGAAAAGAAATTCTACGGAAAAAATCCCACGAGGAAGCAGAGCTGCTTGAGCGGATGCCATGCAGGGTAATGACCTACACACGTCCTGTCGCGTGCAGGCGGGTCGTCCGTGCATCACCTCGCGCGCAGACAGGTGCTGCACATTGTGTGCGCAGTAGGCCTGCACGGATAGGCCCTGTGTGCTTGGGGCCTGCGCCCCGGCGCCCAATGCGCTAAGACCTGCGCGCGCGGCAGGAGACCTGTGCGCCTGCAGGTTAGCATGCAGCGCGTCAGCCGGGGCACTGCCACCTTGGGCAGTGCGCCACCGTCGCCTCGGGCGGTGCACCGCCGCTGCAGGTGGAAGAGGCCCTCCTCCCTTGTTTTTTGTGCCGAACATCTTTTTCTCCTCTCTTTTTACGCAATTTCGCCACTTGGCGCAAATCCAACTGTTTCAAAATTCTATAAATTACCCTCCCCTTCCATTCTTCCATTTTTCACGATTTAGAGAGAGAAAGAGATAGTGACCTAGTGAGAGGAGGGAAAGAGAAGAGAAATGGTGAATGAGAAAACATCAAGATTTTGGTAAGAAATCTAATATTTTTTTCGACGTCTTAAGAAATATTTTTACATAACTTAATATTTTTGACCGTTTTTTGTACGCCTTTGTGTTCATAGTTCAGATAAGTTGAATTATTCTTATTTTCAAGTATGCTATGTGAATTATGGACACTTGATGAATTGTATTTAATGAACATAATATGTAATCAGTATTATTGTTTGGTAAAAATAAAGAGTACAAAAAAAAAAGAAAAAAGAGAAAAGTGGAATAAAGCATGAATGGTCCAAAATATATTTGTATTGATATGCATATTGAATCAAATGTCTCGTTAGGTTTTTATCTCTGAGGAGTATCTGTTCCCCTTACCCTTCGGGGTATTTGTTTCCCTCTCCCCTATCTGGTTCAAAAAGACGTAAGAGAACCGTTCTCACTGGATGACGGCGTACTCTCTGACGAGAGTAGTAACACAAATATCTGTACGGGTCACCTGTGCCTAAATACTATCGTGATTGTAGATATCTGTTAGGGTCACTATGGTTGATACGGTTGTGGTTGTAGATCGTACCATGGTTTGGCCAGCTGGAAATAGGTTTGAGCAAATTACCGTATCTGTATCTGATCTGGTCATTCCACTTGTATTGTCGAAAATCTGTATATGCCCTCAGATATGGAAGTTGTAACGAATTCGCGAAGCATGATACGAAAAATCTGTGCATTTAATGATTTATTTGATTTTCTCTATTATCTGGTATGATGTATGTTTGGTTGTTCATATTAATTGTTGCTTTATTAATAAATAAATTATTTTCATAATGGAAGATAAGTATATAAAGAGATCAAATGGTAAGCTTTTAAGTTAAAATAATTCACCTTTGAAACCTTACGATATTAATTTAATACTCTTTTTTTTATTGAGCAAATGAAACTAACTCTTTTCATGCCCTCTCCCATCCCATATGAGAAAGAAAATGAGGAACCACAGACTGATCTATCTTTAGAAGTCTATGAGAATCCCGTGGATCCATAAGTCTAAGTGCATGACTGTTCCCGCACTTTGATGAGTCTAATGGCATAGTGAAAGAAGTGGCATTTATGTTTTGATTTTGTATTTTGTTGCGACTTCGGGTCTCATTATATGTAAATATTGGAACTCATATGTATTTGTAAAGAATTTGTATTAATTCTGTTCCGCTGCATAAATTTTTATCATAAACTCGTTATTTTGTATCTGTATGACACTCATTTGTCTAAATTAGCACTTGAGATGTCACAAGTCATTCACGAGAAGACTGACTGGTGATCAAAGGACGGCATGTGGTTCTCAAGCGCTCTTGACTGCACGTCGGAAGTGGCTTAATCTGCTTCGTTTTGATTAGTTCACTAAGATTTTGACCAGGATTTAGACTGTTTTAAATTGGTTTTCCATAAGTTCAAGCTGATTCTTGAATTTCTTCGGTTGGCTCCATCATTTTGAGTTTATTCTGGTCACATTTGCATATGATACTTTTTACAGCAGCTCATGTTGAAAGGTGATAGCATTGACATGGATTCAAACAAGATTTTAGTTGCAATTTATTATATAATCTATCTGATTAAATAAGATGCATTTTACCAAATTTTTAGTACCTGTGGATGCATATAGAGTATTTAGATACATTGAAAATTAACTTGTATGCATTATCAGTATGTTGACAATCTTTTCTATGCTAAAATTTCTCTCAATAATCATTGTATATATGATAGCTGCTTTTAGTTAAATATTGATATAAAATAGACTTCTAATCACAAAATAGGAAAACATGAGATTTTCTGCAAAAATTAAGGTTGAACTTAAGAATAGAACTAACACTTCCTGTATTTTAAAAGATGAAAAACTTGAAGTTCCTCTTGACTTTTAAGAAGATAAAAAAGTTCCTCTTCAGCCACCGAAGGACGTTCAAGAAAATATATGCTCCTATTGGAAGTTGATTCTGTTCATGTTAGTTATGTTGGCCAACTTGCTCTGTTCAATAATCTTGTTCAACCTCATGCTGCTATTTAAGTAGTTCTCATCCAAAGGACTAAAATAAACAGATTTTT